CGCAGCCTGCTCTGTCCTCCCAGGTGTGAAGTGAGTGAGGAGCTGAGCCCTCCGCCTGGAAAGAGGGGTGTGTTCAAGACAGAATTTCAGGAGAGCACACTGGCAGCAGCCGGGAAGGTAGTTTCTGTGACTTGCCGATTTACTGCCCTCCTACATGACTTTTGCAAACGAGCCTCAGTGCAGAGTTCCGCCCACCCACACCTCCTGCCTTTGTGCAGCGCTGGATGGTAAAGTCCTTTCTCGAGCATTATCTCGTGATTTCCCACCAACCCTGAGAGGTGTGCAGGCTAGGTTTTCTCACCCCCCTCTGACAAGGGCAGAAACTGAGGCCCCCGGAGTTGAAGAGGCTGCCCAGGGTCGTGACCAGTTATTGGTAGGCCTTTGACTAGGACACCTGCTCAGAGATAGGAATTTGGCAAGTGAAGGGAAAGCTCTCATTTCTGTTCAGAGTTGTCTCAAGCTCTTTGGGGCGCTTTCTAAGAGGAAGCTTTCCGAGGTGAGACCTCAGGTGGCAGGTGGAGAAACACGACCTGAGAAGGCAGTTCCTTGTCCAAGCCCACAAAGCTTTGATGGCAGGTTAGGACCAGGAATCGGGCCTCCTGACAACCTGCCCTTTGATGCATCAGACCGAGGGTTAGGTAATGACTGTTGCTATGGGGGGCTGGGGATAGGCATGTTTTGCATATGTGTATCAATGTTTCAGCATTCTCTTAATTTTTGAATCAGTGTTGGCAATAATATCCACTAACGATTGAATGGCTCCCATCTGTTCCCTCTCTGGATGATGCCCTGGGTGACTGTCCTAACCTTAGAGGGGTCCTCACTCTCACCTTTGCCCCCATAACCTCACTGGATGACCTTTGCACTGGTGGGTGAGGGGGCCCAGGGGGAGGGGGCCGAACTTCTGGCTTCAGAGCCTTTCCGATGGGCAGGCAAGGGCCTATCCCTGTCACTGTTTTCACCTGCCCGTGAGTCTGCAGGTGCTGATGGACATGATAGAGCACCCTCAGGTCTGGCCTTCATGTGTCTCCTCGGGGTACAGTGAGCAGGGCATACCTGCATGCAAACGTCCACTCCTATTATCCCCCAAAGCCCAGGGTAATTCTCGGTCTTGATTGGCCAGTAAGTATTGGGGCAGTTAGATTGCGGACCCCTCCAGCAAAAACTGTGTTGGTGGAAAAGACAACAGTCCCCGCCTGCTTCTCTCCCTCCCTCCCTCCCTTGTCAGATCAGAGAACTCGGGGATAGGGTAAGGAAAAGGACAAGGAATAATATGAGTAACAGCTGCATAGCGTCTTCTGGAAAGTGGAGATAATCAGAGAGCTGTTGTAAGTCAGTGCTTCTCGGCCCTGGCTGCACATCAGTCACCGGGCAGCTTTTAAGTACAGTAAATCCTCACTTAACGTCATCGACAGGTTCTGCAACTTTAAGCTAAACAACATATAAAGCAGCCAATTTTGCCATAGGCCGATTGATATAAACAAGAGTTACATTTCGGTAGCATCTCATCGTTTGTTGTAATGAAACGGCATTACTCAAGGACATGCTGCATCCGGATTCCCAGGCTGCAGCCCAGACCCAGGAGATCAGAATCTCTGGAGATGGCACCCGGGCACCAGGAGTTGTAAATTCCCCACAAGACTCCAACGTGCAGCCGGCATTGAGAACCACTGCTCTAAGGATGAAAAGAATTGGCTACTACCTTAGAACAGAGATATTCCCACAGCTGGCCGTGCACTGGGATCATCAGCATTTTTTTTTTTTTTTTTTTTAAATTACACTGATTCCCTGGCCACACATTGCAGACCATTTCAATCAGTGACTTCTGTGTCTAATGCCTCTTGCTCAGCCTTCACCTGAGCCACAAACTCAGCGTCATAATAGCTACCATTGACTAGTGCTGACTATGGGCCAACATTGCAGACATTTCCAGTCTTCACAATTCCCAGTTTACAGATGAGGAAACGGATACTCAGAGCAGGTAGCCTCTGGCCACAGGTGACAGAACCTGACCTGTCTGACCTCACTGCCCAAAGCCTCATGGCCTGGGGGCTGGCCCTAGTGGGGCACATTCTCCACTCTTTCCAGGAACAGCTCAAGAAGAGAGGAAAGCCAGCAAGTGTCCCTGGGTCCCCTGAGGCTCCCCAGGGCAGGTTGAGTGGAGGACCCCAGCCCGAGAAGAGGGGGAAATGAGTGCTGTTGCCTGGCTTTTGACTCCGCGATGGTCACCCACTCTCAGAATACCTCCTTTTGGCGGGAGGAAGATGCCTGCACGTTAGGCCTGACCCCCAGGCACCTCTTATTGCCACAGCTGCTCACACAAAGAGAAAACTCAACCAGGGAAAGCAAACACTAATTTGCTTTTTGAGAGTTGGAGGAATTTTTTCAGGCATGCAATATAGAAAAATGCTTTGTTTCCCTCGTAAGAATAGGGAAGCTATATCAAGGTTCCCTGAAATAGTTATTTCCGCTTTATAAAAACCTGGTGCCTCCACCTCTGTGTTCTGTAAGTGTATACAAAGTGCTTAAAATCCTTACGCTTTGGTTTCTCATCAGTCAGCTGGAAAGAGGGAGCTGTCTGCCCCCAGGACTGCTGATGCCAGGCCCCTTGAGGTATCAGAGAGAGAGGAGAGAGTGTGGCATCCACGCTGAGACTCACAGCCGCCTGGACTGAAAGCTTCGTCAAGTGTTTGCTGGCACCCACTAAAGGACCCAATGTCCCCAAGGCCCAAAGTGGTTCCAAGTCACCAGCTGTGTTAGAGATCTTGCTGAATGTGTTCACTCTGGCTTTGGGAGGACTGGCTCCACTCCACCTGCGTCAGCTGGGTGTTTCGACAGCTGAGAGCATATTGAGGCATAAATAGCTGAAACTTTAACATTAGTGGACAGTGTAATATCAATTTGGCTCCACCAAGCCTTTCCTGCCCACCCCAGCCCCCCGGGGCCCTCTCCCTCCCCAGAGCTCCCTCTGTACCTGTTGTCTGGGCCTTTGGTCCCTGCCCTTTACTGCCTGGCATAGAGCCTGGCACAGAGCAGATGCTCAGCTAGCGTTGAGTGAATGAGGATGTGTGTCTGGTGACATCTCTACAGCATGTTGGCGTATTTATTCCTTGCTGGCTCTACTTGACTCCTCTGTGTGTGTGTGTGTCACTTAGGTTTATTTTGAAGGTTGCCTTACTGAGTATTATTCTAGTAAAGGAATGGTTCAGATGTGGTGCTGTTTTCTGAGGTTGAGGCAGATCTCCAGAGCATTTCATTGTGTAGCTCTTATCCCAGAGCCACTAAGAGAGTACATCCTAAGTGTGGAGCCTGGTGGCCCCTTATTAAGCTTAACCTAAGACGCTCTGAGCTCTGTCTCAAGCAGTGGGTGTTGTGGCTGGTGAGAAAACGTGGGGCCATGGTGGAAGGGGAGTGGGAGGATCCCTTGGAGGGGTGGCCACCGGGCAGTCTCCAGGCACTGGGTGCCTGGACTGAGATGGTGAAGCAGAGGCTGCTGGCCTTCCCAGGGAAGCTGGCTCAGTGCCGCCTGCTGCTCTGGCATGGACACCACTTTATGGCTGCTGTCTTGGTCCACAGAGTGAAGGCATCCAGGCCCAGCCCTGACTCCTATATCTTAGAGGCATTGTGGACAGTGGGCTAGGTGCCCATCGCTGAAGCCTGGCTTTGCCATTAACCCTGTGATGACCTCAGGAGAGTGACTTGACTTCTGTGCCTCAGTTTCCAAACATTCTACAGCTCTGTGGTCCCATCAGCCCTCTCCCCATGATGAACCCCCACCTCTAGTTATTCACAGAGTTAGACTGCCTCCACCCCCACCAGGCTCCCCACCACCCCAGCCTGCAGAGCCTCTGGCGCGGTCTTTACATTAAGTGCATCACCCTCATATTTGCTGGGTCCCCCTATTGTCCAGCTGCTTGGCTCATGTCAGGTAATCGAGATTTTACTTGTGGGGAGGAGGTTGGGAGCAAAGGGGCAAAAATACAACTATACAGGTAGGTGTTTGTCACTCACCTCACAATTCCCAATGGATGAATCTGTGCTTGTATCCAGATACGGGAGACTCAGCTGGATGATTCTTACCATTAGTATTTTGACCATGCTGGTCTTTTAAAAAATCTTTTCCAAGGATATGTTTTTATTGATTTTAGAGAGCAAGAAAGGAAGAGAGAGAGAGAGAGAAATATCAATGTGAAAGAGAAACATCGATCAGTTGCCTTCCCTAGATGTCCTGACCAGGGATTGAACCCACAACCTAGGTGGTGGGAATTGAACCTGCAATCTTTTTGGTACATGGGACGATGCTCCAACCAACTGAGCCACCTGGCCAGGGTATGCTAGTCTTTTTGTTTTTCCTTTCTAACCTTTCCATTACATAGTATAGGCCTCTGGGCATTGGGATTTCATCTGGTGAAACTAGACTTGGGTTCCAGCTGAGGCTTTGGAATGACGAGACTGTGTAATTTTTATTTTTATTTTTGTTAATCCTCACGCGAGAATATTTTCTCCATTGATTTTAGAGAGAGTGGAAAGGAGGGAAGGAGGGGTAGAGAGAGAGAGACAGAAAGAGAAACATCGATGTGAGAGAGACACATAGATTGGTTGCCTCCTGCACATGGCCCGACAGGGGCTGGGAATCAAACCTGAAACCCAGGTAAGGGCCCTTGACTGGGAATCAAACCCGTGATCCTTTGGTGGATGGACCGACGCTCTATCCACAAAGCCACACCAGCCAGGGCAAGGCTGTGCCATTCTGATCAAATCAATAACCTTTCAGGGCCTCAGTGTTCACATCTGTACACTGGAAACAACAATGCTAACATTCATTCAGGGTTCATATGAACAGAAGGGAAGCCCAGTACCTGTCCCCTTTCAGCCACTGGTTGATGGCCAGGTGGAGCTGCTGGCTGGTGGCACGTTGTGCTGAGCTGGCAGAGTGACTCTGAATTACTGTCCCTGAAGGCACAGTGACACCCTAGTCATGTGAGCCTGTGTCCCCACAGCGGCCAGTTTGCCATTGTGAAGAAGTGCCGGGAGAAGAGCACCGGGCTGGAGTACGCAGCCAAGTTCATCAAGAAGCGGCAGAGCCGGGCCAGCCGGCGGGGCGTGTGCCGGGAGGACATCGAGCGGGAGGTGAGCATCCTGCGGCAGGTGCTGCATCCCAACATCATCACGCTGCACGACGTCTTTGAGAACCGCACCGACGTGGTGCTCATCCTGGAGCTGTGAGTGGGCTGCCGGGACCCGTGGTGGGCAGCAGGGACAGGCCGGGCGGCGGAAGCTCCAGCCACAGGCCCCAGAGGAGGCGAAGTCAGTGGTGGGTGGTTGCCCTCAGTGACCCCAGCCTCCTTCTAAACCTGGGGAAAAGCAGGGGCCAAGCAGCAGGAGAGAGGGTGACGGTCTAGGTCTGGCTTTCATGGGCCCTGGGGACCAAAGGGAAGGAATGGCTGGCTCTGGGTCATTTCCTGGCTGGCTGGCAGGTGGGAGGATGGAGCGGGGAGTGGAGGGGCCAGCAGGCGAGATGGTCAGGCAGGGATCTGTTTTATGACCAAGGGAAGAGCAAACATCCTTTGGGCTCTGCAAAGCCCTTCTCCAGCCCTTTCCTGGAAAAATCTACTGCATTTGTGCTGTGATGCCTTTATTGTTATAATAACTATTATTTAGAGAGCATTTGCCACATGTTTCATGCTTGTCATCTGTTTAGTCCTCCCGGGGACTGTGATGAAGGAAGTATCCTACCAACACAGAGAGGTTACTTTACCTTCACTGTGCCAGGCACATCTCTTACCTCATCTATTCCTCAGACTAACCCTATCACACAGACTCTTCTTATCCCCATTTTACCAACAAGAACACTGCAGCCAGGTCACTTACCAGATCTGTTAGCCAGGAAGTGGTGGGGTTACTGGACCAAACCAGGTCCAAACTTTCAATAGTAGCCAGCCAAAGGACAACACAGATGATTTTATGAAAAGGAACTTTATCGCAGGCTTATAAACAAGGAACATGCCGGGGATTGCTCCCAGAACAGTGTTCCTCAAGCAAAGCATCTGATCCAATTTTATTGGGGGAAATCATGCATAAACATCAAGGTGAGCTTTGTCATTGAATGTATAGTTGGGGACATTCCAGGGCACCGACAGTTAGAAAACTGGCTATACATACATCACATATTCAAAAATGGTGGGAAATCTCCGCCTCTGGTTGGAGATTTTAGTATTATAATGAGAATATGAGTAATGAGGAAAGTTCAGCAGGAGGTCACTGGAGGGTCTTTCAAGCTGGTCTCATGGTTTCAGCTGGTTCACCCCCTGGCTCTGCAAAATGTCCTGGGCTTGTTCCTGAAAAACAGTCCTGGTGACCCTCTATGTCGGGGATTGCAGTTGTTATGGAAGGAATTTTAGCTGATTATGTCTTGGTCTTTCTGTGAAACTTAGCAAATCATGAGATATGCATCACACAAACCATATAAACTCTAGGGTGATCTAAGTGAATTTCCAGGTTAATCAGGGCAAAGTTAGAAACTCTAAGCAAAAAGTTCATTTATGCTAAGTTATCTGCTAGGTTACATATGTGGGTTAGGTTGCACCAGGTCTTGAGCCCACACTGCTTGTGCAGACAGCTGTGAGCATGAGGTAGGATGGCCTTATGCTGGCCCATCCTGGTGGAATGTGGATAGGTGACACCAAGTTCTCAGGGATTGTCCCTCCTGGAGGTGTCTCCATGGAATGGGATGTGGGGTTCTGGCAGACAAGCAAGTTTGAGTTGGGCTGTGGCACAAGTCACAGTGGTTGTGCCCAGTCAGGCAGCAGCACACTGTGCTAAGAATGTTCTGAGCCTTGTAGGCATGTATGCATCTGCCAGTTAGCCAAGGAGTGGTGGCACTTATCTCAGCAGTCCTTGACTTTGTGACCTCGGGCAAAGTCACCTCATCCACCTGAGCTTCAGTTCTCATCTGTAAACCAGGCAGCCATCCTTAACCTGCCTACAGGAGGGGTGGACCACTGGCATTGGAGATCATTCTAATTTGAGAACTATGCTCTGTCTTGGCCAGGATATAGATTTATGTTGCAGATGGGCATTTGCATGCTATTGCATTTGATTCTTAAGTTATCATGTCAATGTTTAAATGCACGTGTTGCCCATGTTCCCCCTTCTCTAACTCCCAGCATTCTCTCTATTTCTCCCATGGACCCCTCAGCCAGTTGGACTAGTTGGTGTATGTACCCGCCTGGCCCAGACATGCCTGGTGGGTTCCCTCAGTGTGGCCAGCCATGTGGACAGCCCACGGTGTGACATGCCCCAAGGCTAAGGCACAAGGTTGGCACACGGATTCCCAGCAGAGAGTGACAAGCCCACCTTCGCTGGGAAGGCCAGGCCACCCCTTTAAAAAGTCTATTATCAGAAAAACTTTACGGTGACTGAAAGAAATTACATTCATAATCCTACCACTCAACCATAGCTATTTATGTTTTTTTTGTGGTTCCACTCTTTTTATCTATTTGTATACAGTCACCGTCCTTATAGATTTTCCTGCTCTACTTTCCCCCCAGTTCACGTAATTGCATAAATAGCTTTTTTCCTTTTAACTGACTATATCATGTTTCAGTAAATTACATACCTGTCTTTCCCTCTTGTTGGTTATTTGGTTTTTATTTTCCAGCTTTTAATCATTACAAATTTTACTGCCATAAAACAGTCTTCTTCCCATAATTTTCCCCTTTTGTTTTGAATTCATTCTTTCAGATAAATCCTCAGGACTGGGATGACTATGCTGACATTTTTAGAGCTCCTAATATCCTCACTTTCATACATTGGTGTGGTTAACCAGTACCACCTGCAACACAGCAGTGTTCCTATTTGCCTGCAGGCTTGCTAGCCCTGCATCACTTATTTTAAAACAGGATTCATTAATTATTGACCTGTATAGTTAGAAAATGATACTTTGTTGTCATTTCCTTTGTTGTTAATCCTCACCTGAGGAAATTTTCCCACTGATCTTTAGAGAGAATGGAAGGGAGGTTAAGGGGGGGGGGTGAGGTGAAAGAGAGAGAGAGAGAGAGAGAGAAAGAAAGAGAGAGAGAGAGAAAGAAACATACATCAATGTGAGAGAGACATATCGATTGGTTGCCTCCTGCTTGCACCCCAACTGGGACCCAGGATTGAATCTGCAACCAAGGTACATGCCCTTGACTGGGAATCGAACCCTCAACCCTTTGGTCCGTGGGCCGACTCTCTAACCACTGAGTCACACCTACCAGGGCACTTTGTTGTCATTTTAAGTGGCATTTCTGTAATTGCTGGGGAAATTGTCTGTTTCTCCCTGTTGGTAGCACCCCAGGAGTTGGGGTCTGGGATGATCTTGAGATTCCCCTGTTTCTCCCAGCAGGTCTCATGGTCAACCAACAGTTATGTGCCGTCTTGAGAGCTGTCACCATTCATATCATCCGTTGTCACACTGCTGCTCCTGTGACTTGCTTGAGCTGCTATGTTTGTTGAGTTCTGTCTGTTCCTAGTTTCTCTGTCTCCTCCTTACTTTCAAGCTGTCTCACTGCTCCCAGGGAGCCTGTCTGTGCACGGGGTGCTAGGAGTTGCTAAGACTGTGCCTAAACCATGCCTGCCCAGGGAATGAGAGGGAGGACCTCCTGGGAGAGAAGGGCTTTCCATGGGCTTTTGTGTTTGGACTTGGTGACTCCTGTTGGGCTGATCAGGAGCCTTTGGCCTCCTGGTCCTCACTGTGCCTGGTAGGTTAGTGGATTTGCCCAATAATTAAGCATGGGTATGAGTGCCCACCTGCTCAGTTGTAATTTGCAAGTTTTGTGGTTGGGTTTACACTGATACCACTGCCCTCTCAGCACCTATCATCTGGAGTGGACTTCCTCCTGATTTCTGCTAAGGTGTCCAGCACTAGGTGGACGTACCCAGCCCTGATTTAGGTCCCTTTCAGCTGTTATTACCTCAAGCAGGACCTCCTTAGCAGCAGCTACCTCTGGTCAGGGCTGTTGAAGGCCAGGCTGGGGAGGATTTAGTTGTCCGTATAATTGATTTCTGTATGATGTAAAGAATATTTTCAAAATCTCAGTAGATTAGCTCATGTCATATGTGAAGCTTGCTCTGAAAAACATATGTCTGCTTTGGGAAAGGTGTTCTGGTCTCCTGTCCCAGACCCCTGGCTTCTCTGGGGCCTCCTTGACTCTACACTAGTGGAAAGCGGGACCCTGGCAGTTGCATCCCAGAGAATGGCCTGGCAGAGGGCTCCACGGTGGAGGCAGTGCGTCCCAGTTCCCCAGATTGAGTCCAGCTTCCTCAGCCCTGATGGATCGGTCAGCATTCTTCAAATCCCTGCCTGCAGGTCATTCGAACGCACGTTCCTGAGAGAGTGCTGAAAAGCGTTTCTAGCAGGGAGACCAACCTGCAGGGAGGAAGGAGGCCACGGTCCGATTCGCAGGAAGGGGCCTGATGGTGGGGACCATGGAAGGGGAGCAGAGGAGGCCCAGCTGTAGGTTTTGCTTTTCATCTTTAAGCTAAACGGGTTGGGACGTGAGCGGAGAGAAGCTTGGGAGGAGGTGGGCAGTGGCTCCAGGGAAGGGGCTTGGGGCTGAGAAACCCTTGGGAGAAACTGTGTTGGGGGAAAATGAACAGAATCTTGAGACGAGTTGCCTGAGCATTGATGTGAGTGACCCCAGCATGGGTACCTAAGACTGGTATGCTCATCAGTCTCCCCTTTTCTGAGTCTCTGGGGGAGATTCTAAGGGACCACTGTGGTGTTCCGGTCTTCATTCAAAGGAGACATGGTCTCCCCTGGTCTCTTGCCCACATCACACCTTCAAACAGAATGGCGGGTGTCCCCCGAAGTCGTCACATAGCCTTTACATCAGGGACTTTGGGTGACCAGTCACCTCTACATCACCATGATATTCTTTTGCATTTATGCAGCATTCCCTCTAAGGTAGGAATGGCCCAAGGTGTGCCCAAGGTCCAGCCTCACAGGACCCAGCAGGGTCTTGGATATTAGAAAGCAAGGGCTGCTGGGTCCTGTGTGTCTCAGAGGGGGCACTATGGTTTTGAAAATCTTCAAAGTGCTCTAGACAGGTTTCTTACAAAGGCCAAGGCTTCCCTTCTATACAATCTAGATTATTCTATGTCATGTTTATATTTAAAAATTTTTCCTTTGTTCTTTTATTCACTTACCTGCTATTGAATGTCTTTCTTGCACAGGGTGCTGCAGAAGCAAAAATAATCCAGCTGGAGAGATAGATAGACAGTGATACCCAGTGTGATGAGGGCGTGGGTCCTGCTGAGCAGGGATCTCAGAGCACATGCTCAGGGCCTGGGGTGGCTTCAAGCCGTCCCTTTTCGCCTCAGCAATTCCAGCTTTGTAACGTGGTGGACTGATGCTGAGAAGATCTGTGTCTAAATGGTGGTTCTGCCACTTACTAGCTGTGTGACCTTGGGCCAGTCACCTGCTCTCTTGGGGACATCAGTTTTCTCATTTGACATATCAGAACAGAAGTTCCATCTACACCTCAGGGTGGATGTGAAAGAATGCTTGAGGAAGCACATAGCAGAGGTGGCAAACTCTAAATAAACTCTAAATGAAGCCCTCCACCACTGTCACCCTGACAATGATGTAGCATAGTATTTACTCAGAGATCATGGTATTTATTGAGGCTCTCATAGCACTTGTCCAATTTTACAAGATTCTTCCCACCTACCCCAGGTGGGGATGGGGCAGAGGATGACCTCACTCGTGAGACACATGGGGAAGCAGTGCACCAGCCGCATCCCACACACTTCAGCAACTGCAAGGGTGCATTAGTTCCAGCACCTGCCCGAGGTGGGGGTGGGGCAGGGATGACCTCAGCCATGAGACACGTGGGGAAATAGTGCACCTGCCATGTCCCACGCACACCCAGGCAGCCACTTCCGGCCACACCCAGCTCACTCTTAGTAGAGGGGGTACTGCAGCTCTTACGGATAGTATGCTTGCATGTGCCATCTTATCTCACCCTCTCTTCACTCTCTCACCTCCCGCTTCTCTCTTTTCTGCCCCCTCTCTCTTTCTCTAAATATTTACTTAGCATTTGTTATGTGGCAGGCAGTAGACATACAGATGAGTACCTAACTCACGGCTCCTGCCCTTGAGAAGCTCACAGCCCAGCAGGAACATGCGCTTCTGACATTGGCCCATCTACTTAAGGGAGATGTTTTTGGCTCCATTTGGCAGATGGGAAAAGACTGAGGTGGAGAGAGACTTGCTAGGAAGTGGCAGAAGCAGCATTCCAGCAGGCCTGCACCTCACCTCCAAAGCCGGCCAGGGCACAGGGAGTTAATGTCACGTACATGTTCCATGCTTACCCTCACCTCTGGGCCTTTGCTTGTGCTGTTTCCTGTTACACCTGTCCTCATTCTCTGCTTCCTCCGTCCAGGCCCTGCCTGAGTCTCACTGCGTTCCCAGCACCTTCTCCCACCACTTGAGCCTGTGCTAACCACATATAACACAAATAATGACATCATAACAGAAGTCCCCATGGATGGAGCACTATCACGTGCCAGTCACGGTGCCAAGAGCCTGGCTCGGTGCGCTGGCTAATTTGCTCATCAGAACAAGCCGAGCATGTAGACCTTCTCATTACCCTCCATGTCTGAGAGACATTGTTGAGAGAGTTAGGGCAACTAGTCCCAGTCACACGCTAGTGTGTGGAGACAACACCAGACTGAGTTTATGAGGCCGGTGCTGGGAAGGATTTGGTTATCTATATTCATTGATTTCTGTATGGTGCAAAGATTTCTGTATTTTCAAAATCTCAATAGTTAACTCATGTCGCATGTGAAGCTTACTTGGAGCCTCTGTTTCTTCAACTGTGAAATAGGAAAGAAATAGTGCTTTCCTCATAGGGTATTGTGATGATTAAATGAGATAATGTGTGTACAGTATACATAATGCACAGAGTAAGTATTCAATAAATGTTAATTACTGTTATGTTGTTATTGTAAAGATACAGGTTCCAAGGCTCTGCTGCTTGAGGCTATAACTTGGTAGAGTCTGTAGTAGGACCTGGGAATCTGCATTTTAAAATGCATTCTCTCGGTGATCGAGTTCTTGGACCACCTGTCCCAGGTCCCTCCCTGAGACCTTTTCCTGGGGTGACCCTTGGCTCTGTCCCAGCCCCCAAGAAGCACATGCAGGCTGGATACCCAGCCTCTGACAGAGGACCAAGAAGCCCAGAAGGGGTGCCGGATTTAGCACATAAAAACCTCCTGCTTTACCTGGCTATCCTAAACTCAGATAAAGCTGTAAACTAGTACTCACAGGGGAGATTTTTTTTGCTCTGTGGGTCTCCATTTCTGTCACATCAACTATAAGGTGCAAGAGTGTGAAGTGTGAGGACAAAAGTATTTTATAGTTTTTAGAGGTTAATATAATTAATGGGTCATTACGTTTAAATTAGGGACCTTTGATGAGGCCATCTGTTATAAAATCAAAGAAAGAGGCTTTAGGAGCCATCTTGCTCCATCTGCTCATTTTGCAGGGGAGGAAACTGAGGCCTGCCTGGAGGGGGAGGTGAGTTGCCCAAGGTCAGTGCAGGGCGTGTGTTACTTTCTCCACCTACAGCACTTGTTTCTGTCCTCTGCCACCTCAGTCATATGTGGAGGAGAGGTGACGCCCAGAGTAACCAGGGTCCTGGGCCTAGCGCCTTTGCAGAGACCTTTCTGGTGACACCCTCAGGATGGGTCCTGCCCTTGTGAGCCAAAGGGAAGAACACAGCACAGAAGCCAAGCCAGCCCCTGGCTGGACAAAGCCCCAGAGATGGGCGAGGTGTTCTGCCACGCAGGGTGCTCAGGGGTCAGGTTCAGGACCTGGAGCCATCGGCCTGGCCTCCAGGCACAGGGCTGACTGGGCTTCCTGCCGGTGTCTTGCAGAGTGTCTGGAGGAGAGCTCTTTGACTTTCTGGCCCAGAAGGAGTCGCTGAGTGAGGAGGAGGCCACCAGCTTCATTAAGCAGATCCTGGACGGAGTGAACTACCTTCATGCCAAGAAAATTGCTCACTTTGATCTCAAGGTCAGTGAGGGGGGAGGGAGGTGAGGGAAAACAACCAATTTAGGAAGAATGGGCCCAGTCTCTCCCGATGTCATTGCCAAGAGGGGTCAGTGCCCACATGGCTCTCCTCCCTCATCTACCATTGAAAACTCTGAGCTCCTGGGAAAGAAAGCGTCCACCTCCCCAGGTTCATTGAACAGGTTAGGATTTCTTCACATAGGCGGACTGCAAGGAGCTTATTCAGACCACAGGCACCTTATCTCTTTCAGGAGCAGATGGTGTAAATGTTAAATAAGTAGACCAATGACAGGAAACTTGAAACCAAACACATTCAACAAGATTGAACTTTTCAGTAAGAAAGAGCTAACTCCTGAGGAGGCAGATCTAGAAGTGTTCAGAGGGGACGGCTGAGGTTGGTTGGTGCTCCAGACCCAGCACAGCACAGCCTCCAGCATCCCTTGACCAGAGGTTGTCTCTCTTGGAGCCCAAGACCACTGGCCTCCCACCCCCACCCTGCCCCGTACTGTGGCCATCAAAATTGCTTCCCAGGGGCCACTGATCATTTGTGGTAACTGTTCTTCAAGGTCGAGAAAGTTCACTGTGACCACATAGGACTTCAAAAAGCAAGAATGTGGTCAAAGTAGGATGATCAGTTCCTGTAGAAACTGAGCTCCTTTGCAACGACTGATGAGCCTGTAAGACACCCGAAGCATGAAGATCTCTAACCCATGATCAGAGGGACCTGTTTACTGGGGAGGAGACCCACTCATTTTTCTATCCAGAAACTCCTGTTGTGTTTCAAGCACTGTGCTGGGTGCCTGGATATTGCTACAGATCCTGAATCAACTGAGGCCCTGTCTAGGCTTAGTTCCTCTTTTTCAGGGAACTTAGTACAGGAGGCAGAAGAGAAAGATCAACAACTCTAAGTGCTACAAGAGAGGGAAGTACATGGGGCTGGGAGCCTAAAGGAGAGGCATCTAAGTCAGAATGGGGAATTTGAGAGGGCTTCCTGGAGAAGATGGTATTTGACTTGCGTTTTGAAGGACAGGCATTATCAGAGGGGAAGGGCCTCCTTAGGAAGAGAGGCCAGCAGGGTACATGGTCCCAGAATACTACAAAGTATTCAGAGAAGTAAGGCAAAGAGTGAATGTGCTGAATGGCTGGAGAAGAAGTCAGGAGGAGAGAAGGAGGCAGACAGGAGGGCATGGGAGCCTAGCCAAGGAGATAGAACTTTATCCTGTGGGGGCCAGGTGAGCAAGGAGGTGAGGTAAGCAGGTGTGTGTTTCAGAAGGATGGATAGAATGGTGGCAAAACACTGGAGGCTGGAGTCCCAGCCAGGAGGTTATACATTTATCAGGTGAGATGTGACAAGTGTCACACTAATTTGAGAAGGAGACAGATGTAAGACCTATTTCAGAGGTTGATCTGAGGATTGATTGGGTGCCTGATTAGATGTGGGAGATGAGGAAGAGGGCAGAGTCCAGGATGACACCCAAGTTCTGACTTGGGGGACTGGTCCAGAGGGTATGGCTTATCTACTGCCTCACAGCAACTGCAGAGGATGGGCTCTGTTCCGGCACATGGATCTCACCCGCACTTACTCTGCACTGTGAGGTGACCTGTAGTGAGTCCCCTCCGCATGGTTCCCCCCTCCTAATGCCAGTTGTCATTATCTCGCGGTATATTGAATTCCTGCAATAGAAGATGTCTTACAGAGCTTCACTTACATGTCAAGGGGTAAAAGTTGGGGTCACCAAGGAGGGTGTGGCCTGGGCAGACCTTTGGACCTCAGTATGGTAAGGCATCAAGTAGGAAACGCTCTACCCGGATTACACCTGTGCCTCCTTCCTGGTAGCAGTGAACTTGTTTTCATGTCTTTGCTGGATCCAGGAGACCAGTCTCAAAATGGGCTTCTTTGTCTGTTCTCTAACGGGTCCACACACTCTAAGGATACCAGGCGTGGTGGGTGTTAGCAGCATCCTCACCCTAACACCCGCAGGAGGAGTTGAGGAGGAGGAGGAGTTGTGAGCCCACAGGCCCCATGACTACAGCAGGTTCATGCTGTATAGTTTGCTTCTATGGCAGCTCTCAGTGGTGGTGGTGCGGGTTGGGGGGCGGGGGGGGGGGGGCGGGGGGGAGGGGGGGGCGGGGGGGGGGGGAAATGCTGGCTGGGAGTTAGCCAGGTCAGGGTTTGTGCCTCTCTCTACCGTGTACCAGGGTACAACTGAACCTCGGTTTTTCAGCTTCAATGCAAATAATAATAACTGCCTGGCAGAGCTGTGGTAAGGGTTAGAGAGAAGTGGCATGAAGTGCTGAATACCATAGGGGTGCTCTGAAATAGTAGCTGGTGTTGTTGTTTCCCTATCTAGAATAGAGGAAAAGAACACACAACTCTTGTCACAGTGTTTTGGGCCCCAATAGACTAGGAAAACAAAGCCTGTTGGTGCAATTTAAATTGCCCAGCAGAGAGCTGAGATTGGTTGCTAGGTGGGGCTGCTGTGGAGGATCTTGTCTGGCTCCTGGGCTCAGTCTGGACATTTTCCACAATCTGGAGACAGTCTGGGTTTCTCCTGGATACGTGCAGGGTGAGGATGCTGCTAACACCCACCCCCGCCTCATGTCCTTAGAGCTGTGTGGACTCAGCCTTCTGACTCCCCCACCAGTGGGTCCCTTGGCCTGGGCCCAGCTAGGCACCTTCAGGAAGTGATAAGTGGCTGGAACTCAGCGAGCTGACCTCATGGTTGGATAGACACTTCCTGGAGCCAGAATGTGCGTGTGTGTGTGCCCCCTGGCTGAAGCTTTCCGCCTGCCCGAGGGGATCATGCCGAAGATCCAGCTTAGAGGGGACTTCTTGGTTCCATATTGTCTCCCACCATATAAAATTCATTTTATATGAATATATTTTTATTCCTGGTCTTCATTTTCAACAAGGGGATCTCAGTTTTCCTCTCCTGTTTTATCCTGTTACATTTTAATTCTGCCTCACCCGTGAGCCAGGCTAGCCAAGCTGCCCCGCTAACATGTGTCCATGTTGTGTCCATGTTCCTACCCATGATCTGATCTTCACTCTCACTTTCCAGCTTGATGGAGGAGGGTCAGCTCTCTGGCCCGCCTTTGGAATATGAATGGCCTCTACTCCTATGTCAGCCGTTGTGCTGGGCACGGTGAGGCTCTGTCCCTGCTTACGACATGCTCCCAGCTTTGTGGCAGAAAGCAGACGAATGGACACAAAAATGTTGATAAGCAGTCTTGGTAAACAGATCATGGCCTGCTGTTGCCCAGAAATCTCTGATGGATCCTTTTCACCCATAGGATAGATAAATGGCTGCATTCTCAGTAGGGCTTTCAGGCCTTTTTATGCTGCCTTCGCCTTTAGTCTGGCCTCATCCACCTTCCCCCACTCCAAAACATTAGCCCCACCAAGACCACAGATACCGTTCTGGCCTCTCTCCTCCTCTGTTCCTGCTGTTCCCCCATCCAGGAAACTGCTGCTCTTCCTTTCCTATGCCTGCAGACTTCCTGTTCATTCTTCAAGGCCCAGCAGAAACACCATTTTCTCTGGGAAGACTTTCCCACTCCTGTCACCTCCCAAATCATCACTGAGAACGAACCTGCCTGTCTGCTTCTGTTGTCCTTTGTACAGACTACTGCTGGGGGCATTATCACTGTGAATCATTCCGCTGCTTGTGTCTAGCACAGTGACTGACCCATGACAAGTTAGTTACTCAGTGTTGTGCAAATAAGTAAATGAATGAATGAATGAATACCTTAGTAAGACCAAGTACATGCATGGATGGCAAAGGCCCTTTTATGTTACCTGGAAAAAGCAAAAGAGGTTGCAGGCAGATTTCAATTCAGTGATCTGAACATTTAGTGAGGGACTATTTTATGCCAGAGAGTAGAGTGACAAACATCAATGTAATATAGTACCTGCTTTCCAAGGGCTCACCATCTACTAGGAGATGCCATAGCGGGGTTCAGTGGGGAGGCCACCTGAAATAGAAGCTAACCCAAGAAATGTTCACTTCCAAGAGGTAAATTCTGCCCCAGCAGAGTGAGTACCATCCCCGTGAGTGCTGTAAATTCGCCACAGAAAGGCCTGCTGGTGTGGGTAGATGGGTAGAGGTAGATGATGTTGCCCTGTATTTACACTGATGGGAGGGACACGGGCTGACTGCCCCTCAGTACCGGCAGCACCTGATGCGCCTTCAGACATGCCTTCCACGGGATGGATTACCAGGAAATGGGGCTCAGTGCTACTCAGGAACCTCGCCCTGGTATGTGATCCCAAGACAAATATAAACCTTGTAAAGGGCATTTTTATGTGGTTTTGTGTTTATTTTGGAGTTGGGAGTTTCCTTTCTGAGTAAGGGTGTGACCCCACTCTCCCCGCCCGGCCTTAGCCTAGTTCAACTTGAGAATTCAGAAAGAGAAGATCGTTCTCCTCGGGTCTGACTGGAATAAGAATAAGACATGAGGGTTGAATGAAATTGTATGCAAGCCAGGAACCCAAAACTCTGAAGGGACTTTTTGATCTATATAAACAGCATTAAAAGGAGTGAATTCCTGAGCAAGATACCCCAAACTCCAAATTCCTCTATGCCCTGATCATCCTTTGAGCTGTTAAGTTTATAACGGGGTGGGGTCTGCTCATCACGCTCTCGTAAGAATGACACTGATAATACTTTAAATATATGAAGTACGTTCTAGAATATAGCGTGCTTGTATCTGTTCACTCATTTGATTCTCATGGCCACCCATTGAAATACAAGGTATGGACACTTTTTTACACACAAGGCAATTAAGATTCAGAGAGGTTAAGTAACTTGTTCAAAATCACACAGGTATTAAATTTAGACTTTAACTCAGCAAGAAACATTTAACAAAGCTGGGTGTCACCAGCTTTTTTTTTTTTTTACCAGATTCTAACAGTGCAGATTTCTTACTTGGGTCATGCATGCCTTTTACACACAGTTAATCCAAAGGTCTGTACTGTGCTATAAATGTATTCTTTATGGTTA